CCAGGACAGGCACCCTGTCTCGAAAATCCAAAAAAAAAAAAAAAAAAAGAAAAAAAAAGAAACAAAGAAAAGAAAAGGAAAGAAAAGAAAAGAAAAGAAAGAAAGCCACCAAAGGTAAAATAGAGGTTCTTGAAGACATACGTTGCTTCCTGGTTGACATTCCCCACCTTTTTACATCCACAGGCCATTGGCATATTTTGCCTCTTTAGAATCTGAACAACCATCGGTTGTCTTAAAAACCACATCGGCACCAGCATACTTCCCTCAGCATTGCTACCTGACTCCACCAATGTTGCCAGTAATTCCCCATTGGCCATGTCCGGCTTATCTACTTGGCATTCTTGGTTGACTGTAGCATTTTTGTGAAATGAGGCAGATTTTTTGAAAGATTTATCAAAATACTTTCATCAGTGCTGGCCATGGTGGGGTAGGGCAATTGGAGACAGCAGCGAGAGGCAGGAAGAGGGGAAAGACGATGGTGGCCACAACTGCGGCACCTATGACAGGCTACGGCCATGGCAGCTGAGGTAGTTGACAGTAGCCATGATGGTGGCTACCACTGAAATGAATTTACTGGATGATAGCAACCGAGAGAGTCACATCTGATTGATTGACAGACAGCCTTCTCTCTCTTTGCCTGCACGTATGGCAAGCAGGAGGTAGCAGGGAACAAAAATATAGCCCTCAACTAAATAGTCCTCAAGGAAAGGGAAGATGGAAGTCGGTGTTTCTCATCCCTTCACTAAGCTGTTGCCCACTGTGACAGTCGGCTTGTGAGAGCCTTCCCTTCCTGATCACACGTCGTATTATCCTACTACCAGGGCTCTCTGGGATCATCTTCTGAATCCGTCTCTTAAGCCTAAACTAAGATTACGATTCGAGAACATATGGCACATTAACAGAAGTGAGCCTCTGCCAAGCCGTAAAGCTGTGACAAATTTTAAAAGGGCTGAAATGTAAAAGATGTTACCAAACCGATTTAATTAGGCAAGATGTCTAGAAAAATTCCCATATGGTTAGAAATTAAGAAATATACCTCTAAATTTCTAAATAACCCAATACCAGTAAAAAACAAATCAAATTAGAAAGGAATTACAAAAATCAAATTTGTAAGCAATGTAATATATATCTCTTAGTAAAGGAAAAGCCTGAAACTTTCATCACAAAAAGGCACAAGCTGTGTGTGATGTGGTGGTACACACACCTGTAATCCCAAGGTAAGAGGATCAGGAGCCCAAGGACAGTTTTTGCTACACAATAAATTCAGGTCATCCTGTTCAACAAGAGACTGTGTCTCAAAACAAACAAACACAAACCAAAATAAAGATCAACAAGCTAAAAGTAAACTATAGGAAAAGGTTAATAAACTTGACATACCCTTGCCCATACTACTGATACAAGATACAGTGTCTGAAGCAAGAGGCAGTACTACAGATGCCATGAGCCTTAGGACAATGTGGCTATTGTGAACAGATTAATATAACCCCAAATCAAAGGCAATGTGATAAAATCCCAGAAAAAAAATACAATTACCAGACACAGAGAGAGAAATAAAACACCATAAAGTTGTTCTATTAGCTTACACATAGGCACAAAGTCTTTGCAGTCAAGTATCGGGAAGTGAAGTCTCCCTTCTTGTAATGTGAAGCCTCAAGAATGTTTGGGCTAATAGATGGTAGTAGCATGATGCCTTTAAGGCTTCCCATTTCACTCTGTTGGGCCCTCTCATTAAAAAAAAAGAGGCCATATAAAAATGTTCTAAAATGTCATCTGGTCCTCCATGTTGTCTGTTTGCCTCACACTCTTAGGAGAATGGAACAGAACCCCACTTGAACAAAGTAACCTGGGCTGAAAACATCCTCCAAAGTCCGAGGGCTCAACCCACAGTTATGGAAAAATGAGCTGGGAACAGAAAGCCACCAGAACCTGGGCGGCACTGTCAGGGTGACAAGAAGCAATTTTCACCCTCTTCACCCTCTGTTCCTCCAGTCTTGCAACCCGCATAGCACCTGGTAGCTCCTCCAATCTTGACTATATCAGACTTCCACCTTGACTCCTAAACCAACACATTTCTTTTGTTTTGGAGGCAGATATTGAGAGGAAACTCCCAATGGGTCAGGTTCAGTTTTCTAAGCCAACACCCAAATCTTGGGATTTAAGTGGCTGGCTTCTTTTGGAGTCACTTCAAGGGAGAAGAGACTTGTCACATGTTTAATCTGTATGGAGGTCATTTTGGTTCATTGTTGAACTAAAAATTCTTGATCAAGAACTCTCTGTAATAAGGAGTTTACCTAGCCATTACAAACACTAGCCAGGAAAGCAAAGGTCCAGATCCAAAGACAAACTCTCACCATGACCAGCAGTGGGCTAGACAGCAGTTCAAAAATTCCTGCTAGGCCAGAGCTAAACCTATTGTTTTGTTTTTGTTTGTTGTATTGGGGGGGGGGGTTTATCAATACAGTGGCTGGCTTTAAATGTGGCAAACTTTTCAGCTCCCCTAGAGATTACAGGTGGGACTCACTATGCCAGGTTAAGAACATTTTAGAAAATGTGGGGAAAGAGAGCAACACAACCAATATTGCACATAATTTGCAGGGTGGGGTAATGCAAAAAGCCTTGGGCTGTGAGGACAGCACACAGGAGTTGTTACTGATCTGGGGATATAGTTAGTAGTGTTTTGTAGCATGGGGGCCGGCTTGTTGGGGTTTCTGTCCCGCCCGGTACCCCACAACCAGCAAGTCCCAAAGAAAATCACACAGAGTCTACATTAGGTTATAAACTGATTGGCCTGTTAGGTCAGGCTACTTATTAGCTCTTATAACTTATGTTACCCCATTATCCTTATCTACGTTAGCCACATGGCTCAGTACCTTTTCCAGCGGGGCAGCTTACATCTTTCCTCTCCGGTGGTCTGGGCAGAACTGCAGAGGGAGCTTCCTGCTTGCCAGAATACTCCCAGTCTCTTTGCTCCACCTCTACTTCCTGTCTGGCTTTCCTGCCTATACTGCCTGCCTGGCCAATTAGCGTTTTATTAAAATATGATTGACAGAATACAGATAATTCTCCCACACCAGTGTTTGCCTCCTGTGTACAAAGCTATGGGTTGAATCTTTACCACCAAATAAACTGGGCATGGGGACACACACTCCTATAATCCCAATCCTTGGGAGGGAGAGACAGTAGGAGTGCAAGGTCTTCCTTGGTTACCTAGCAAATTCAAGGCCAGTCTGGGATGCAAGACCCTGTCTTGCCGGGTGGTGGTGGCGCACGCCTTTAATCCCAGCACTTGGGAGGCAGAGGCAGGCAGATCTCTGTGAGTTCAAGGCCAGCCTGGTCTACATAGAGCTAGTGCCAGGACAGGCTCCAAAGCTACAGAGAAACCCTGTCTCGAAAAACAAAACCAAACCAAACCAAAAAAAAAAAAAAAAAAAAAAGACCCTGTCTCAAAATAAATAAATAACATTATTTTTTTAGAGATTGGCTGGTATTAACAATTTAAAAAGTGCATACATAAATAACAACCCTAGTGGTCTGCATAATACAATTTAAGCTTTTAATAGCCTTTTATCGACATAAAATTTTATACCTTGTTACTGATCAAGCCCCTCTCATTTTTCTTCTGGCCTCTGTTCCTTAGCAATTACATTTAGGATAGTTCAAGCTTTATCAGAATGCCACCCCTGGGTTTTCTTACCAAACAGCTGTGCCTGCAAACACTATGAAGGTGGCACTAACGCAGATCTACATGGGCCAGGTCTCTATGGTGGAGATCTTGATCCCATTACTCTCTCTGTCCTATCCTCTTCTGATGAGTTTGCTGATTCACAAGAATAGAGGAGCCCGAGGGCCGATGCCTGTGACAATGGCCCTCTTTAACAGACAGGGAATTGAGTGCACTAATTTTCTCGACACAGTAACTAAGTTCTATGCCATTCTCAGAGGTCTCATTTCCCAAGGTGGTAATGCACTTTTTAAAATTACATTTTATTCATTTGCTTTACTGGGGTGGGAAGCAGAGGAATGCCATGCAGCACTTGTGGAGGTCAGAAGAAACAGCTGTTTCTAGGAAACGGAGCTACTTGTGAGTCAGCTCCACCCTTCCCGTATGTAACTCCTGGGGACCAAACTCAGCCCGTCACGCTTGTGGCAAGCACCCGGAGCCACTCTGGTCACGCACTTTTTATGGCTGTCTTGTGTTTCCCTTTCCCACTCCCTGCCAGTATCTCTGGACTGACTGAGAATATACTATCAGGGCCCCATTCCGAGACCTGGCTTCTGGGAATTGCTAATCAAGACAAACCAAACTCCAGTGAAGGATGCTTCCGAGCCATGTCCTTTCACGCTTTTCAGTTTTTAAAATTTCTCTAAGTAGGTGGCCTAGTCTGGCCTCAAACTATATAGCAGTGGATGACCTTGAACTTCTAATTCTCAGGCCTTGCTTCTGCCTCTACACAGTTGTTCTCAATAAGGCCAGAATTTTTACCTCACTGCCCAAGGCCTGTGTCTACTGCTCAGTTGGTCCTGACTCAGTAGTGGAAAAGATGGGCTGTTTACTGCTCCTCCCACAAGCCTCAAGAAAATGGTATAAGGATGTACTGAATGCAGATTCAGCGGAAGGTACAGCATATTGACGGGCGTGTGTGAGGTCGTGGGTTGTTCCAGAGGGAAGGAAGCTGGGCATGGTGGCTCACACCTGTAACCCTAGCACTCAGGAAGATTGCTGTGAGCCTGAATCCAGTTTGGTATACATAATGAGCTTCAGTACTGCCTAGACTTAAAAAAAACAAAAACCAAAACCAATCTGGTGAGTGTGGGTGGGAGGGAAGCCTTGCCCCAGAGCACATACAGCAGGGTACAGGAAATGACTGTTTGAATCATTATAAACCCAAGCCTAGAACAGGAGCACCTTGGCAGACCAAGTAAAGCTGAGGGTGGGTGACCAAGCTTTCTCCAGCTCTCCTAATGCCTGCCCCCTTCAATGCTATAGGCTGGAACCAAAGTCCAGTACTCAGTCTTTATTTATTTAGAGTTCCGAGTCCAGGAAGGCCAGACCCACACCAGAGCCCTCAGGACTCCAAAATGTCACTCTTCTAGATGAGGACATCAAGTGGGGTCACTGGTGCCCAGTTTCCTCAGAGTCCACGGGGGTCTTCAGGAGGCAGGGAGAGGCTGTGCCTGTGGAGAAAACATAGCAACATTTACTGCCCTTGAAGGGGAGACGAGGCAGATACAGCAGAGGCTGCCCTCACGGTCCAGTCTAGAGGGGAAAGGTGCCAAGTGGTGACCTCGGCCATTTGCCACAAGAACAAGTTGTACACAGTAAGCTAAAACCTGGTACCATTCTGTTTGTTTATTTTTGGAGGCTGGAGAGAGCTAGAACGTAACTCTAGCCAGGTTGACTGGGAACTCACTAGTAGCCCAGGCTGGTCTAGAACTCGCTTATGAACTCAAGTTGGCTTGAACTCATAGCAACCTTCCTACCTCAGTCTCCCTAGTGCTAGAATTACAGGCATGTGGCAGCATTGTGACAAGTGCTGGGGACTCAGCAGGCAAAAATCTCTCATTCTAGGAAACTCCCTTTCAAAATGGGAGGGACAGCCACACTAGTCCCCTGGTAGGTGAAGTCTGTGTGCGGAAACAGGGAGACTTCTGAACTACCAGCAACATAAATATGAGTTCTCCTACTAAGGCCTTTCTATCACATGGTAGATGTGGGCATTTTCAGGTCTGCTAATGTGAAGATCAGAGAATAGAGGAGGCCTGAATCTCACCACCCCAGTTAGGAGGAAGAGTTGGAGCTATGACGCCATCAGCATGAAGGAGCAGGACAGAGGACAACCTGCAGGAGCTGGTGGTAACACTCAAGGTGTCAGACCTTACAGCAAATGCCTTAACCTGCTAAGCCACCTCCCTGCCCTAATTTCCATTCCTAAAAGGAAGAGGGACTGAAGGATGGCTCAGCCTTTGCTCCTCTCCCAAAGAACCTGGGTTCAGTTTCCAGCACCCACATGGGAGCTCACAACCATCCATAGTAACTCCAACTCCAGAGGATTCCAGGAGACCTGACACCCTCTTCTGATGTCCATGGGCATTAGGCACACATGTGGTCCACATACATGCAGGTTTAACACTGATACACATAAAATAAAAACTAAAAACTAAAATGGAAAACAAAAAGGAATCGAAAGGGCTTTATTGTCCAGATGCTGGAGACACTTGAAAGGCAGAAGTATTCCCATGAGATGGCTGAGTAACTGGAATGGACAAGATGCAATCATTCCTGAACATTCCCTATGGAAAATTAAAGTCCTTCTGGGCAATTTCTGCTCTCATAACCTAAATCTTTACCCCTGTTCTATACAAAGATCCAATGACTATCAGGCATAATTAGAGGGTAACCTTTAGCCAAAAAACTCTCCTGAAGCATGAAATACAAGGGAAACTGCGGGGTGTGGCTGGAGAGAGCTTAAAAGCCAGGGACCAGGAATGGGGGAGCAGAGGAGGTTTTTCCGAGAGAAGTACCATAAAAATAGAGTAAGAATTAGACAGGAGATGGACAGGGGAGGGCAGCCTGGGCAGAACGAAATAGCTAGGAGCCAGGTAGATGTGCCCCTGAATAACAACTGTACACCATCCGCTGGGGGTGGAGAGTGGAAGAGGTGGGTGGGGCCTGAGTCATCCGAGACCAGGCTGTGCTGGAGATGAGAACCAGTCTAGCAGAGGTGAAACCACAGAGCGGTTTCCATGGAGAAGCAAACATGGTAAGACTTCCTCTCAGATCATTCTGGAACCATCACAGAAGGATTAGAAAGGCCAAAATGGACCGACACAGAAGCCCAAAAGATGGTGAGAAAGAAAAGGCAGGAATTACAGGGACAGAGGACCTCGTGAGAGGTGTTCAGGGGAGGGTGGTTAACAGAGTGACTTCGCCTTCTCAGTGGTCCAGCAGGAAACATCCAAAGGAGTGTTTCTCACTTTTCCAATTCTGCCACTCCCAGAGCATGTTAAGATTTTTCCTCATTGCCCCATCAATGACACTTTATTATCTCGGATATATTGTATATGTGTTTATGTGGTATGGACATTAAGATCATTTCTCGTGAACCCCTCTTTACCCCCTTCACCCCCACCGGCACAGCTGAAAGCAATGAAAAGGACAAAATGGGCAAGGAAGGGAAGAAGGGATCCAGTAAGGGTCAGGGACTTTGTTCCTACTGTGAAGAGAAAGCCACATAAAGTTTTAAGCAAGGGTGCAATGTGATCAGAATTCAGGTCATTATAAGGAAGTAAGAGGTTCAGGCAAGCCAGGGAGAAGGCAGAGGAGGAGTGTCAAAGATGGCTAAACTAAAGCAGAGGCTGCAACTTGGGGCAGAGAACCATGTTTTGGATTCTGGATTCACAGCCAAGGCATGTGTGGGAATTGGGAAGGGCTAGGGCTTTTGAACTAGAAAATGAAAGGATTTGTGAGGGAAAAAGAAATGACCTAGTGAGCCCTCTTTACCTCTCCAGGTGTGGGTGAACTTGGCGGCTGCACCTGCTCAGCACACTGCAGGAAGCGGCGCATGTGTTCCGCACAGTTGCCAACAGCCGCCTCATTCAAGCGAAGACACTCCTCGAAGGCTTCAAATGGTTCAGCACAGGCCTGGCGGATCTGGCGGATGATGGGGCTGTGGGAGGAGGGCATTTCAGAGCCGGAGCATCCACACCCCACTGCCTGGCACCCTCCAGCCCCAGTTTCCCACTCACTGGGAGGATGTGCAGCGAGCAATGCTCATCTTAAGGTGGTGACAGTCCCGATGCCAGGACTCTGGCTTGGCGGCCACACACTGGCCATACTGATCCAGCTCCCGGCTGCAGTATCGAGCAGTGACTTCCAGGGCTGCCTGCCTGGGGGACAGGGTAAACTGGAGGTAATCTCAAGAGTAGACAAGAAAACGTTCTGATTTGGGTCTATGATTAGCCTAGGGACCCAGGAGAGATTTGGAAATTTTAAGGTTCCTATGATAGGGACAATCAACGAGGGGCAGAAATAAGAGCTGAGTTCTGAGCGTTGTGGTATAGGGTGGGAGTTTTTGGAAAGGCAGTGAAGTCCGAAAACAAAGTCTGGTTGCGGTGAGGCAGGCCTGGAGTATCTCCAGTCTTGACTGCAGTCGTTTCCCACTAGGGATCATGCAGCCTGACAAGCGTGATCTAGAGTCGTAGGGAGTTATAACTCACATCTCCAGGCGAGTTCAGGCCGATCAGTCAGAGAAGAGACCCGCCTTTTCCGGTGTCAGGTTGACATGGCGGCGCCCAACCCATACCTCCCGGCCTCACTCTTCCGGTCGCCGAGAGACCTGCCACTCAGCCCACCTAGATGAAACCATCATGGCAGCGCTCTGCCCCGTCTTCCGGCTCACTGCTTGTCCGGGTGGGACCCCATGTAAGTACTTCCGGTCCGTCGGCTATTTTGTTTCCGTTTAGTCTTTCTACTTCCGGCTGGCGGCGGCGTCGACGCTTAGAGCACACCGGAAGTAAGAGGTCGGAAGTGTTGGTGCAGCTCGGCACCAGAGGGGCGTGTGTCTCCCGCAGTCTGCAGCCGTTCGCGCTGCCGCTTTCCACGCTGGTGTCAGTAGCCTCCGGCCCGCGTGGCTGCGGCCTTCACGCGCTGCGGCTGAGTCGGCAGCCGTGCCCGCCGCCGCCACTGGGAGCAAGAACAGGAGGGTACTGATCTCTCAGCTGAGCTGCCACCATCGGCTTTACACCGGTACACACCCCCCTCCCAATAGCCACATTGGGCCTTTCACGTGGTTAACTCGTACAGGTTCTTTTCCTGGCATAGGGGATAATGGTAGGGTGAAAGGGGATTTTAGTGCTTGCTCCTTGCAACCGTGGACAAATTACTTCCTTTGTAATTCTCCTTGGTGTGGTTTCTACCATCCACATATGCCTTCAGATTATAAGGCTAGACCTGGGAGTCCATGTCCCTGTTTAAAAGGCTAAAAACTCAGAGAATTGAGTGTCTGTTCACCTAGAATAACGAGGTCTTCTAAGACTAGACAAAATGAGCAATAACCACCGCAGTTTGCAGCTGTAAAGTGGGGGATAATGGCTGCGTGAGCCTCCCCAGACCAGACAGTGCTAGGGAAGGGCTCAGTGCCTCAACACAGCAGTTCCAGGTAAAGAAGGTGTTAACTGGAGGTTGTAATCATGTGGTAGACATTTGACAAGGGATGACAGCCCCCCAGCCATCTGTAACTGCTTCATGTGACAGATGTAAGACTGGAGCCACACCACGCACGACACTTTCATCTTTGGGAAACTTGACACTCACCTCCACACTTCAGTTGCCTTTTGGCTGGTGGCTGTCGAGTGTGACTAAGAATCAAATGTAGAGAACCATACTGTTGGAAAAGAAACAGATCCAAGAAATGAGGATCTCAGATAGAATTGCTTATTACTGAGGTTTCCTTTTGGGAAGCTCGTTCATGAAAGACTTTTAACGTGTTCATTAGGAAGCTCAAGGGCAATTTTATTAATTTGAGAGGAAAACATCAGGGAAGGCGAGGGGTAAACAGCAGCTGCTGAGAGGGAGCTGGAGGACTCCAGCCAGTCTGAGCACCACAAACTTGGCTCTGGCAGCCTTGCTCTACTTCCCCATTCTCTTCACCGTGCTAAAAACTGTTAGATTACACCCCCTAAAACTAGCCACCAAGGTCTGTTCCCTTATTTGGCCACTTCCTCCCACTAAGGCTGGTGTCCAGCTATCAAAGTATTGAAGTCCAGCAATTAAAAGCTCCCTTTTGGTCGCCCTAATTAACATGTCTGATCGATATTAAACACCTCATCCTAACACAGGGTTTCCCCTTTTGCCTTTATAAACTGCCATTGGCCTATGAGTCACTTCTCTATTCAGAGGCAGTCCTTGGTCCCTCCAGGACAAAAACTCCTTTCCCATCTCCCTTGTTGCTGACAAAGGCCCCTTCCCTTTTGTCCTCTATCTCTGCCTTTATCTCTAATTCCCTGCTCTTTGTCTCTCCTTTGTGCTGAGAACTTGATTTTGGGGTGTCTTGTGCCAACCCCAGGTCCATTCCGTGTGCATGGTGCATATGTGTGTGCAGGCCCGAGGTCAGTGACATGTATCTTTCTCCACTGCTTTGCACCTGAAACTTTTGGCAATGGGGTGTCACTGAACCTGGAGCCCACCAGGGAGTTTGACTGGCAGGCCAGTGAGCACCTGGGACCCTGCCCCCACATCGCAGCACTGGTACTCTAGGTGTGCCCTGCCCCCACATCGCAGCACTGGTACTCTGAATGCCCTGCCCCCACATCGCAGCACTGGTACTCTAAGTGCCCTGCCCCCACATCGCAGCGCTGGTACTCTAAGTGTGCCCTGTCCCCACATCGCAGTGCTGATACTCTAAGTGTGCCCTGTCCCCACATCGCAGCGCTGGTACTCTAAGTGCCCTGCCCCCACATCGCAGCGCTGGTACTCTAAGTGTGCCCTGTCCCCACATCGCAGTGCTGATACTCTAAGTGTGCCCTGCCCCCACATCGCAGCGCTGGTACTCTAAGTGCCCTGCCCCAACATTGCAGCGCAGTGCTCTGCCATGTCGTTTATGTGGAGGCTGGAGATCCGAACTCAGGACCTCAAGCTTGCAGAGCAAGCACTTATTTAGCCTCTTCCCCAGCCCCATGCCTATTTATTATAAAACTAGGACTCAATAATTTTCTCTTGAACATTTGTCCCAGATAGAAAACTATATCTACACACAAACATGTACTTGGCTTCCCAGAGCAGCTTTACCTATAAGGCCCCAAACTAGAAACAGTTGAAGTGTTCTTCCAAGTGGATGGTTAAAAAACCAGTCCACCCATACTTTGGAGTACTGTACAACAATACAAAGGCATGAATTAATACACACAACTTAGATGAATTTAAGAGGAATTCTGTTAAAAAAAAAATCAGTCTCAAATTTTGTATTTTATGATTCTATTTACATGTATTTCTTGAGATTATAGAGAAGACTGAAGGGTTAGAGATATTACCAGAAGGCACAACATGACAAGTGTCCTATGTATAACACAAATCTACACAGAAGATGACATTCCATGCAAGTGTATGTAGGTATACATAAAACTGGAAAAATCTGAGTAAGCTCTGGGGTTGTCTCAATGTCATATCAATTTATTGGCCAAGAATCTACAAGATCAAAAGCTAATTTAAAAAAAATTAGCTGGTGCTGGGCAGTGGTGGCACATGCCTTTAATCCTAGCAGAGGCAGGCAGTCTCTGAGTTCGAGGCCAGCCTGGTCTACAGAGTAAGAAAAGCCAGGACTACAGAGAAACCCTTGTATCAAAATGAAACAAAGTTGCTGGGTGTTGTGGTCCACGTTGATAACTTTAACACTCTGGAGGCAAGAGGATGACTCTGTCACAGCCAACTTGGCTTCACAGTGAACCATACTTAAAACAAGGCCTTCAAAACCATAGTTCTTTCTGACAGAGATCTGAACAGGACCCCCAGCCACAGGACTATGAATGAGGTAGACAGAGAATGAGGTAGCTGGGTATCAACCAGTTCAAGGTATTTTCCACGGAAGAATTCAAACACCCAATAACAGGGAACAATACAGCTATATAAGATAGTATACACAAGTACACACACAAAACCCTAATAAGCACAAGAAACTCATACAGAGGTTAAAAAAAAAGCAAAGGAACATAGCTACTCACTAATCAAATACACTCAGCCTTAAAGGTGGAGGAAGTCCTGCCACATTTGAAGATAGAGCTGCACCTTGAGGACACTGTGCTAAGTGAAACATGGACAGCTGCTGCATGACCCCGAGTTACCAAAAAGGCCAACTCAGATACAGAATAGAATGGCGTTCGCTGGAGGCCAGAGACACGGAGCTGCCTGTAGCTGACAACAAAGCTGCACTCGGAGCTGTGAAGGGGACAGATCTCAGACAGAAACACAAACCCACACACGCACAACCCAAAGGTGTACAAGAATACTTGGGAAATGACAGATATGTTTATTTACCTTGACCATGATGACGTCACAGACCATACCTATGTTCCAATCCATCAAATTATATCCATGAAATAGCTTTAGTTTACATGTATATAAAAATAAAAACTACATTTATGGCTCCCATTTTCTGTCTATTATACTGCCCTGCTCTGGATGGACGACAAACTGCTACTGAAAGCAGGGAACAGTGAACCTGGGCCTGGAAAGGAAATGTCCCTGCATGATCTATTATCAATAAATCATTTTTTAAAGAAGATACTTAAGAACATTTTTAAAGAAATATACCAAAACCAACTTCAGCACATTTCAGAGGCACGGAAGCCATGAGTTCTCAGCTGCTTGTTCTTCGCTTCAGTACTGAAATTCTTGTACACACCCAGAGTGAGCCCGTAACATCATTGGGTTAAAATCCTCTTTTGTTCTAATCTCCTAACTCAGATGGCCAGGATCAAGTTAAACAACATCCAGTTTTACTTTGATGTTCATAGCAGCCAGCTCAGCTACAAAATACCGGAAAACATATGGCACAGAGACAGTGTCAATGGTGTCACTGCGGCCACAGACAGTGCAGTTGTATTTTCTGTTGCGCATAGCAGACCAGGAAGGAGGAGGCTTTTCAAGTAGTGGGGAGAGCAAGCTGCCACATTTCACACACACGTGGGCGGTCGAGCGGTCAGAGCAGTTGAAGAGCCGATCATGGAGGAGGAAGGATGTACCGTGTGCCAACAGAGCATCCCGTTCCATCTCCCCAAAGCGGATTCCACCCTGGACGTTCCTTCCCCCGATAGGCTGGTTGGTGACTTTGTCCCGGGCTCCAGTGGTTCTAACTTGAAATTTGTCTGACACCATGTGGCGTAAGCGCTGGTAATAAACCACACCGATGAAAATGTCTGCTTCCAGCTCCATCCCGCTGATGCCACTATACAACCGCTCAGTGCCATAGAAGTTGTAGCCAGCAGCCTTTAGCATCTCCCCAAAGTACCCTAAGGCTGAGCTCTCCTCGGAGAAGATGAAGGGGGTAGCATCATGGCAGAGACCGTGCAAAGCTGCAGACTTCCCAGCCATACTTTCGATTAACATTCCTATGGTCATACGAGAGGGAAACCCATGAGGATTAAACAGAATGTCGGGCACCATCCCACTCTCAGTAAAAGGCATGTCCTCAGCTGGCCACAGTCTGCTCAAAATGCCCTTCTGTCCGTGACGACTGGCAAATTTATCTCCAATAGTTGGATTCCGAGGGACTCGGATCGTGATACAGATGCATTTGAATTTCCCACTGCCCGTGTCATTACTACACACTTTGATGTTGTCCACAATACAATTTTCTTTACTCCTAGAGAGAAAAAAAAAAAAAACAGGAAATAAAGT